CAAGCTTGACTATTAACCAGTCCATGCCAACCCTGAATATAACCAAATAATGTTTTGATAATAATTTTCTGAATTTTTGATTGATTTACAAGTTTTATATAATTACATGAGTATACAGTAGTCAAAACAAAATATATAAATAATATGCTATAAATCTGGAAGCGGATCTTCTGCCCTTAAACCTTGTTAAGCATGTGCTAAATTTATAAAAATATTTGATTATTAATAATGATAATAACTATATTTTTATATATTAACTATAAAATAATTCATACTTATATATCCTCGTCTACGATTAGAGACAGTAGAAGGGATTTGTATTTGGCTTACTTTCAGTTTGAAAAGTTGGTCATGATGGTTTAAATCTTGAGCATTATTAAGGTTCTGCTCAGAAACTATTAGTCTATTAGCTTTCTCAATTCTAGTCTCAAGATAAGTAGAATCAAAATCTCGTAAATTATAAAAGAATGTATCATATACAAAGTACACAATACTATGCCAGATGCCTTTTGTAACTGTAAAATTACCATGGAGCAATAGATGGGATACAAATGTCACTACTTGTCCTGGCCGAAGATATACAACTATTTGAAGTTGAGAAAAACATAATTCTTCTCCTTCAAAATCTCCCAGTGTGACTAAAACACACAGACTATTTGGTTCATCATAATCATCCCAATGATAGTCACTAATAGTATTAAAGTTGATGGCTATCATTGAGAAAACTCCAAATACTCTTGAAGCGAATAGGCCCCATGATAATTTACTCAATTTTGTATATAAATCCACATGATATTCTTGAAGAAACCGATTGATACTTTCTGATAATTTCCTAAGACCCCAAAGTAATTTACTGACATATTCATGATGATTAATATTATGTATATTTACAGTATTAGAGCTTGTGAAGAGAAGTAAATTGTTTCTTGTATAAGCTCCAAAATGCTCAATAAAATTGGTCCAAAATTCTTTACTTTAGTGTGAAGGATTTTTTAATAAATAGAAATAGTACCAATTTACAATATTAGATGCAGTTGTAACAGCATCTGGATCATCGAGTTGCTTCAAGTAAATTAATATTCGATAACCCAAGTCTGTAATACACTTAGGTTTAAAAATATGTTCAAGTTGAACTAGCTTATCTAGCAATTTGTTATTATTTTGTGCTAATACGATAAGCTGTGTTTTTTCTTTTTAACTTTTACATATAGTAGTCATATCAAAGAAATTTTGCAACTCAACATAAGCATACTGGAGTTTTTTCCATAATAGTTTAAGATGTTCTTGCATATGCTTCCTTCTTAGTGGTCCTTTTGATTTCTTTAAACCTAACCACTACCCAAAAGCAATCCACAATCATTTATTATTAATATCAATGTTCAATAGTTCTTTAATATCATTCTTTTCCTTAATAATATCACTATAAACTAAAGATAAAAAATCTAGAGAAATTTTAGGTAAGTCAATAGAATTATTGCTAGTAGATGCCTCTCTTAGTAATGTTTCAATAAGTAAGTCTTTGCCGATATATTATGTTGGGTCCTAATTTTTTTAGAAGATATTCTATCAGAAGGACAGAGAGAAACACTTCTCCATTCCCTTTCCAAGTAATAAATATTGTCAATAGTAGACAATTTTTGGGTAACAGATTAGATTCTATGCTAGTAAAATAAAATAATGGATATAAGCATTTTTTTTTCTAAAAGATTGCAAATTTTTGTAGAATGAATAAGTCCCCCTCATTATACCCGAGATGAATCAAAGATAATATCATTGATTACTAGAAGAATATCATTATTTGGGCTATAAAGCATCTTGGTTTGTTTTTGCTCACGCCTAAGTTTTTTATTTTTACATGTACAGGCTTGTCTTGACAATTTGGTTTTAGTAGATTCATCCTGTAATACAATCACCTCTTTCTTTTATTTATTATTTAATGTTTGCATTGCAATTGCTGTCTTTGGTAAAAAAAAAAAAAAAAGAGGTAAATATTTGTATTGCACAAAGTATAAGATTAGTGGGTTGAAAAACAAATAAGGTTGATTATATATTAAAAGAAAGTCCTCTTTATTGGAGAATTTATATAACAAATTATAGTATGTTATATTCAGTATTGAATTTAAGTCAATCACGTATTGCTACAATAATTTAACACTTTATAAAACAATCACATGTTACTTTATTTGACATCATAATAATTTAACATGATAATTTCTATGCTAACAATTACATATTTACTATATTTGGCACTACAATTATTAAATACACCAACAATTGCATATTTTCTATATTTGGGATTAGATCATTAATAACCTGTTGAGTAGGTATACTTATACGGGATATGATAATAATTTTACATGCTTTATTAAGCCTGATTTACAAATTTAGAATAATCGGTATACACTTCGTTATAATAACAAACCATGTTGATCCAACATCTAGCATCACTTTTTTTTTTACCAAAGTGCGATATGTGCTAAAAAAATAAAGTACGTACGTATATGTCATACTATCATATAACTCAATGGTCCTACAGGTCTGCTTTTATTTTGGCCTAGGTCGAAGCTAAAATAGCGAAAATTTAATATTCATGTTTATCAGATAAAAAGTTTACCGGCTTTAATAATCAATGGCTGGCATTAAATTTTATACGGTGTCACTCTCCTGCAGAATCATTTCTCACGGTCAATTTTTGTTAACAGCTACTAAACAAATAATGACTAGAAGCTTTATTATACACGATTTTATGATAAGAAAAGAGACAAATGGGGCTTAAAAGAGCTATAAGAGGGAAGAGTACAACGTTATTTATCAGTAGTTTTATCCAAATTCATATGTTACAGGGACTTCGAATCTTTGCAATCTCTAAGATCATTAACTTTTTTACATCACAGGAGAGATCGTCAATTATAAGAGGGCTAATTTCACCAGAAAAGCGACAAAATAGATTTAATATTTGGAACTTATAACCAAATAGACTTGCTTTTCATAGTAGGATCTAGATTGTGTTACTCTATCAAACTACTAATTATGTAACTTTTTTTTCTAGAAGATTTTTAGATCTAGCAAATGGTATAAAAATACAAGTTCCCACCTTAAGATAAGTTAGCAATAATGCTATTTTTTGCTTATATATATTTTTTACTTAATAACTTGCCTGTATTTTTAAAAATAATGTACTATTTAATAGAGACTAAGAAAATTGAATTTTACTTACTATATATTTTTTATTTAGGAACAAAAAATGAGCACTAATGATAACACTATTAAAAACAAAAAAAATAAGGCCCCCAGGACCAATAATACTACCACCCCCAGGACCAGTAATAGTAACACCTCCAAGACCAATGATAATAACGCCACCACCACTTCTATGACTAATGACAATGATCTCTCTGAGACCTATTATATTTCTCTAACACCACCCAATCCAAGACCTAGCCAAAGGACACCTAATTCACATAATAATAGAAGAAACAGAAAGGTAAGTAAAATTCTACCTTTTTAGATATACTCGAAGTATACGAATACTTATGTAGTAGAATTTTATTTAAATCAGATAATTCGAATTATGGCATTTTACTAGATGATGAGGAATATGTTGAAAGAGGTGATTACATAACACCAATTTCGGAGGCATCTTTAATAAGACATATAGAAAATGATGACTGGAGTGATATGAATCCTAATTAAGCCCAAGAAATGTTAGATCAAATATAGCCCCACCAACATAACCCATTAAGGGTACCTCTTTGAGGTGTTTATTTTTTTTATAATAAAAATATATATTTGTATATTGTCGTTCTGGCAAAAAAAAATATTAAATAAAGAAGTAGGGGTTCACACTCTCACCAAATTTTATTTTTATACTGTACAATTTTTTACAATATAATTCTTTTTTTTCATAAATTCAAAAAAAGAAAAAAAGTGATCATTGTAGAGAACATATATTTATCTAATCTGTGACTTTGAGCAATGAAATTGCGAGAAGGCACTGGGATTCTAGCTATTTTTCCAACTTCAAGCAAATATTTGCGAGAAGGCACAATAAAAGTAATTGACTTTTCTATTTTCAAAAAAATATGTTTACCTATTTGAGTGGCTTCAAGTGATTTATCATAAGAAGGCGCAAGTAATATATTTTTTACATTAATATGCGTAGATTGGACGATCTGATTTTCTATAAGTTTCGCCGGTATTTAAATTGTAGTAGTAACCTTCATTATCGTCAGAATACATTGCGCTCATATAATCATCAGTATTCTCATTATCATCAGAGGGATCCAAGTTAAAACTCGAATAAACAGAGATGTTTGTCTGCATAACAGTATCTGTATAATTAGATACAATCTCTTTAGTAAATATACTTACCTCAGTTTCTGTAGATATACTTATCTTAGCTTCTAGCAATTCTGAGGAAGCAAGCTTCAAGTCTTCGACTTATCTTGATTATTTTCTCAGGATAAATCTATTGCAGAGCAGGCTGTTAGGCGATTTCTCGAATCATGACTCTTTGGGTCTAAAGGAATCGATTCAGTAGATATACTTATCTTAGTTTCGAATAAGTCATCTGAAGAACTATCATGATCATCAGTGAATTCTATATCAGGCTTTTTAGTAAAATAGTCTATAATCGGTTGAATCTGTTTATTGGTAAATTTTGAAATAGTATTCGTGCTATATGACTTAATATATTTTACTTTATCTAAGCCTATTTTTTTGAATAACCTGTAAATTTTTTTAGCTTTTTCAATTTTCTTATATAGTGATTTGCGTCTAATGCCAGGATTTTGTGTAACAATAAAATTATAAACTTGACCTTTAGCTTTTTTCATATTCACTTTATCCCTAACCATAAGTTTATCAAGACTTTTGTCAAGTACTATAATAAAATTACTCCAGCATAAAATTTCAGCCTAATTAGCTTTTATTGATTCATATTCTGCATCACATGCTTTTTCATATAAGTGGTCAATATTTTGGAAGATGCTTGATTTTTCCTAACCCGAGATCAGCAAAATTTCAGTCACATATTCCACAGATATGGAGTCATGATCTTGGGTGGATGGGAATATATCATCCTGGCTATCACCTGCAGATATTTCCTGAATTAAGCCTTGTTCTTTCTTTTGCTTGTAAGAAATAGTGGGTGCAATATTTTGGGAATTTGAAGGTATCTCTTGAGAAATTGCTTCACATTGAAGTTTCTTTTCTCTATTGCGTTGCCTTATTTCATTAGCAACATTTTCTTTATATATTATTTCTATGAATTCAAGAGTACTAGCCAAATCGTCATCAACAATATCTTGTTGTGAAGACAGTATGGATGTCACAGGCTCTGTTGGAGATTCAAATAAATATTTAGACTCACCTTTCTGGAGCTGGGTAGAATCAGTAATAATAGATTTCTTATCTTTTGTAGAAGATACATTTTGGTTATTAATAGTGACTAGAGTCTGTATCTGTTCTAATTTCGTGACTCTATCTTTTAGCTTGGTATTCTCAGCAGTAAGTTTAGTAGTATTTGTTTGGTGTTTTTTTTCTAGTTCTTTAAATCGGATCTTGAGCACTGCATTTTCTTCTATAATCTGCTTTAATTTTATATTTTTAGCCTCAATTTCAGCATATTTCTTTTTAAGTTCAGGTATTTCTGCACTCTCCTTCCTAAGTTTATCAATCTCGGCTACAAGCTTATAATTCAATTCTCTCAACAAGTCATCTTTAGATTGTATGTTTGCCATTTTTAATATAAAATACAGATATATTCAATTCTTTTATTATGGAGATATATATTTTCATCAAAACATAATCAGAGATACTGATACATGCTACGTAAACACAAAAAATAAATCCAAAACACATGACTGCGTAAAAAAATTCTCAATCATATATACATCAATAAAAATACAATAGATAAATTCATGAAATACACATGCAAAAGTAAACACGATTATGTATGCGAAATCAGCCACCAGGGCCAGCTTTATTGATATGATAAGTAAAAAATAAACTGCATAAATTCTATCTCAATCATTGCTAAAAACACTGTAAATTTTATTATTTATCGACTTGCTAATATCAATGCCATTAAAAATAACTCAATCATAAGGGCCTGGAAAATATACTTTATCAAATAATAAATATATACATTAAGATCACTCGACTAATTTCTACCCTCAAAATAAATTCTATAATAAATCAAAAATTAAAATTTTTGGCTAAAATTCATAATCAATAGAACAGGTAATAAATATTTTAATTCTCATAAATAAAACCAAGAGAGATAGGCATTCAATATTCCCAAAATGTATGAATATGATTAACCCAAGAATTCTTTTATTATTAGATCATTAAAAAAATTATATTAGATACACACATAGCTTGTTATATTGATTTTTCCTACTTTATCATCAAATATTATGCTAACTAATCATTTGGACCCCATATCCAAATATTTAGTTTTCAACAATTTTAACCAATAAATGTCATGCTTCTGATCCAGTTTCTTCCTATTCTCAGCCCCTGGTGGCCAATTAATATTTTTATGGTTCATGAAAGAAGGATAGCACTCAATTTCTTCTTTTACTAGCCTAGTCAAAATCTATTAACATTCCTTGATACTGACCTTGAGATTTGTTAACCAAAATATTGGAATCACAAAGGTTAGCAAACACAATATTTTCATCATGCAATTTGTTGATAGCTTCTTCAATATTCCCTAAAATCGTTTTATATTTATCATGACCAAGTGAGTCGCAATTATAAAGTGGCACTGCCTTAATATAATCCATCACTACTATATAAAAACTATCCACCATCTCTTTGTTAATGTATAGTAGTTTGGGCACCTTTCTAATTTCACCACACAGTTTGTGTGCTCTCTGATTATATTGCCATGCGAATTTAACAATAATTTTTCGTCCGTCTTTTGTTATAGCTTTCTAAAGAAGCTTGTGATCTAAAAGTTTTCCTTCATATGTAAACTCTACAGTTGTATCTTGATATACGTATTGATTCAGGTAGGGAAAAAATCGCTGTAAATTTTGTCGATTTATAGGCATATCTAATGATAAATAATATTCCTTTAATCCAAATATAGAGCTTTGAAAAGTCATGCTACTCGCTCTGCGTGGGCTTGATTGTTTGTAGAAATGAGGGGTATAAAGTCCGTCAAGGGATCTACAATCGGTTTCTCAACATATACTGCCCCTAAAATACACACTTATGGCCCAGCTAAACATAAGATAAAAGAAGGCCAGTTACACTATTTGAGTACTTCCCCATATGTCTGTTGGGTATAATATTTTGCAAAAGAAGCTCCAGCTTGAACAGTCAGATCACTGCTACCAGTGCTAATTTCATTTTTCATCTCAACAAGAAAGCGTAAAACACTTTTTGAAAAGACGTGACACTCCAATACTCCATCATTATCTTTTAGATGAATTATTCTTAAATCCTTACCAAATAATTCACGAATTTTTTCTCTAAACACTATAGAACGATCAGCTTCACTGAGGTATATTTTTGCTATTTTATTAATGAACTCAAGGGTCCATTGATAATGCTCTCTCCCCATTTCTAGATCTTCATTATGGTAATCATGCAAGAACTGACTAAAAACGTTGTGGTAAATTTGTACTGGCGGACCAACGCATTCTGGAGGACGGTGAATAAGTAACTGCTTGTCTTTAATATGATGGTTAATAAGATTATTAAGAAGTGCGAAAGATGACGGGGGAGAATAGCTCCTAATCTTCTTTACGTTTTTTTGCTGTTCTGTAAAGGTTGGAAAAGGTTAGTCGATACAATAAAGGTTTTGCAGGAGCAGGCATGCTCTATACAGCTAATCTTCTTCATAATTATCCAGGTTGGAAAAATGTCGCTTAGTAGCCGATGAAGATCTACATTGCAAACGTTATTAGTTATATTGAAAGTGCTCAACCATAATAATTTGTATACTATGAACAGATTCTCTTATGAGGTTACAAGCTTCTCTCTTTGAAGCACTGTTAGCTTTTCTTCCAATTCTTTTATCTTCTGATCTTTTGTATCCGTATCTGTGCAATAAGTGAGGCACAAGTTAATAAATGAAATTATTGCGGAGAAAGCAGTATAGGTTTGGAATATTCGAATACAGTCGTGGTACTACTTACCCTGTCCTTTACTCTTGATTTTTTCAATCCAGGTTGAGATTTTTTTAGCTGGACCCAGTTTTAACCCAGCTCGCATAAGTTCATCAATGTTCAAGCTGAGAAGAACTTCGCCAACAAGCTTTTGTTCTTGAAGAATTTTGAGATCATCATCCAGTCCTATATTTTGGTCACCTAAAAATTTTATCAGAGCCTCCGTTGTCTTATATCCTTCAACTTCATTAATTGTAGGAAGTGAAATTGTTTTTCTAGTAGTAGACATATTCACGTATTTAGTTTTTTGGATAGGACAAAAAAATTTTTTTAGTAAAAAATAGTTGTATAGCATAGCAGAAGTTTATTTTAATTGGCTAAAATTGGAATAAATGTGATTGGCAACGAACATTTTTTTATACAGTCAATTGTAATTTTTAGAGTACTTTAATTAATAAAAATCGGCATGCTTTATAAAATTTTTTTTTGTAATATGTAATAAAACAACAAGCTTTAGTAACTGATTTTTTACCTTTAAACCTATTGTTTTTTAAAAAGAGATACAATTAGATGCAAAAGTTTAGAAAACTAAATGAGAAATGAAATTTTTATCGGCCTTGATAATGTCAGAAAGATCAGAAGACTTTAATAATACATGTTGATTGAAAGTCTACATAGTTAAATACTAGCTTTTAATTTATTTGTGTATTAGCGACTATGAAAAAAAGTGATCACAACATAAGCTTATTTATTTAAAGGATCTTTTTCAAGAATTTAAACTTTTTATCTAAAAATCAGTAAAATACAAGTGTTAAGATTAGAAGAAGGGAAGATTTGCAGAAGGTTGAGAATTGAACTAGCGTCAGGTATTTGAAGTTGAGTATTTTAAAATAATTATTTGTTAATACCGTGTCATAGACTTTGTAACAAACAATAAGTTGGTTAATTTTATTATATAGTACTTATATGGTCATTATTTTGGGGCAATACTATAGTTGCCATTCAAACATAACTAGTTTGGGACTTTCTAGAGTATTAACCATTATCTAGAACTAGTTAAACCTGTCAAACTTGTTCAAAACTTACTGTATAAATTGAAATTTGGAACAAAGTTTCAGATATAACCAATTTGGGCCAATGGGGTTTCAGAATTAATGATTCGATGTTTGATTTCAGATAAAATAAATAGCGTATTTATTTCAAAAGAAGCTAATTTTATCACCAGCTATGCTTATTTAATAAGATCCCGTTTATTTTGAAAAAAAAGTTAACTCTAAATCCCCCAATAGTTATAACTATTTGGGCAGCAACTATAGGCAATACCCAAGTACATTGTAATAGGGATCAGGATTAGTTCACCGGGACTTTTATACAGGAAACATACTAATTAATGAAAAGAAAAGTTTTCTAGATACTTTGTTGCTGATTTAGATTTATATCACCCAGCAAATGAAACAGATAAAGGAAAAATCTACGGAGATTTGCCTTGCGTAGCTCCCGAAGTATTGTGAGGTAAACCATATATTCAAAAATCAGATATTTATTCTTTTAGAATAGTAGCTTATGAGTTATTTTCTAGTAAACCACCTTATCATGAATTTGGATTTTTGGAGGCTAATAAAGTAAGTTTAAATTCTTTTAATATTAAAAAATTTGGCCAATTTATGTAATGATTTTAACAGATTAATTAATAAAAACATCCTAAGCTATTAGGTATTAGCGAAATGGAATTTTGCTTATATACGATCAGGAATTTTTATTAATTATTCTGTTTTGATATAGTGATTGGGTTAAAATATGGGGTGAAGTTAATAGAAATGAGACAAATTTATCTAATAAATTTGTCCCATTTCTATTGATTTCACCCCATATATTAAATTTGCATTTAGAATAAGCAAGGCGGAAGTGTGATGAAGATTCAACTAGACAAAGGCCTTTTGATAGTCATTCTTTTGATCTTGACCTTTCATTTAATATATACAGAGGGTCAAGACTGGTGGGACCCGAGTATTATATTGAATTAACAGGAGGGAATGTACCTGATCCAAAATAAATTTTACACATGGTGTGATCAATTAAAACTGAAACTATTTATATTAGTTTTAATTGATTATACAATGTGTGGGATTCACTTTGGATCAGATACGTTCCTTCCTGTTTATTGAATTAGCTAGATGGTGCATGGATTTTGGTTTAAAAAAAATGTCATAGGCAGAAGTTTGTCTGATTGGCTGATGTAAATCAATTGCCAGGTAACTTATTTATATGTTATACAGTACTTTTTAAGAACACAACATTTTACTAACAAAAAATTACCATAAAAATCATCTTTAGACTAAGTCGAGTGCCAACGTTTACTATGCAAAAGAATCAAAATCCTGAAGAAGTTTCTTAGAATAATGATGCTACCTGAAACTATATTAGGTCACTAACCGAAACCGAAACTAGTTTTAGGTATCTGAAACTAATTTTTAAAATTCTGAAACTTGGTAAAATTCCGAAACTATATTGAAATCTAAGCCTATACTGAAATTCTGAAACTATTTAAAATCTTAAATCTATAGTAAATTCCCGAAACTATATCAAAACTCCAAAACTGTACACGTATCCACTTACAGCTGTTTATATTACTATAATATTTTATAATATCTACGTCATAAATTAAATATATTTTTGAATTCATTCAATTGAATGTGTTGATATCTAAAATGCTTATATTTATAGAGCTGTGTATATACTACAGTATGTATGCGTATTATTGGACACTAAAGTTATTTAACTAATTCTTATAAAGCGTAAGTACTACATAATTATCCTCTTTATAATCACTATTTTGCTTACAACAAATAGCGTGATAGCAACAATATACTTAAACATTTATAAAATATATTACCATTAAGGAAAAATCAACTCTTCCCTGTAGATTTTCGTACCAATTTTTGAGCTAAAGAAAATATACAAAAACAACAACAAGTCTACTAGCTAGCAAGGTTCAAAGGCTTAAACAAAAAGGAATAGCACAAGAATCTACCTAGAGGTGCTTAGAAACACATCTGGTCTAATTTTACGACAAGAGCAGTAGAGACCAAATAGTCAACTTTCGCAAGGAAATTTTTAGAAAAACAGAAGTTTTGGGGAATCAGTCTTGACCCTGTAATGCAGATCACTGTAACAACAAACAAATACGTAACACGTCAAGCTACCAAAAAAGTAAATAGCGTGACCGATCAACATCTGGCACTATACAAACAATAATCTTCATGTGTACCGATATCTCATATAGTATCACATGGAAAAACAGAAGAGTTCATAAAATCGGTGCAAAATGGCAAATTTAGAGGATTTCAGAGGCTTTTTCAAACAAACATAGAGAGAAAGAAGTATCTTATATAACAAACAGCGTGCAACAGTACGACACGAGGATGTACATATAGCAGAATACCTTGGCACAAATGACATTCACCTAATCGCAGTTGTACACAATATAATCGAATATTTCAAATAGGCCAAAAGCAAAGAAGCTAGAAACCAGCCTCTATCTGAAGAGGAGAAGAAACTTCTCGGGCATGACACAGATATCGAAATGCGTCTAAATACATGCATAAAAGGCAAAAATGGCCCAATAATGATGGATTTTTGCTACACTATTGCAAATAAGATAAGCAATATACCAGCCACAAATATAGATGTTAACAATAGTAGTAACAATATTGTAGTAGAAAACAAAGAAAACCCACGCAAAAGATTACTTGAGGAACAAGAAAGCAATAGTGTTATAACAGAAAATGATGCCAAAGAAATAAAGGCTGTCTTGTTAGAAAATGAGGTGGGTATGACAGACTACGGCCTAGAGATGCAGAGCATCGAAAAGGCACCAGTGAGAGAAAGACACCAAAACAAAAGATATAGCAAAAAACACAAAAGCTGAGAAGATATTTATAGTTCAGTATGGGCTCCAAGAGAGAGTTTTGCTGCTCGACTGCATGTGAACAAACGATATTACTATTTCACAATATGGGACGTCCCAAAACACACAAGTGGAGCTAAGATCAAGCTATATCTTGAGCACTATAGTACAACAAACATCATAGAATGGCAACAGGGCCAAAGAGGAAGAAGAGCATTCTATATAAGCACAGTATACAATATAAGAAAAGAAACCTACCCACTAAGTGGACAATGGTCGGTACAGTTGGGCCAAGGAAAAATGTATAGAATAACTCCTGGTAAATTTGATAAAGCTATG